CGCTGAATCTTTATGAGTTCTGTGTGTACTGTTCCTATTGGTGTATTCAAGTGGAGTCGGGTTTGCCATGTCTTAATTATATTTTCCAAAAAGTGTGTGATGTGTGGGTGTATTTTATAAATGTTTAAAATGTGAAGCAGCCATGAGTGAGGGACAGAGTCGTATGCTTTTTTATAGTCGACATACATTGTATATAGGTCTTTCTTATGTCGTTGCACATCTTTGAGAATAACCGAATCTATAACTAATTGCTCTTTGCATCCCTGACTAAATTTTCTGCATCCTTTTTGTTCTTCTGTCAGAATGTTTTGGCTTTCTATGTGTTTATAAATAATATGGGTTACGCAAGACGTTATTATTTTGTAAATTGTTTGCAAGCAGGTTATAGGTCTATATTTGGCGGGGTTGATTGTGTCGTTTGGGTCTTTTGGCAGCATGTAGGTGATGCCTTCGGTAATGTATAAGGGAATCTTAGAAGGGTCTTTAATAAAATCGTTGATGTGGTTATATAGGTGTGGGTGAATAGTTGTGAATTTCTTGTACCAGTAATTGTGAATATGATCGGAACCTGGTGCTTTCCAGTTGTGAGCCTTTTTTAGAGCATTGTGAAATGTCTCAACATCTACTTGTTCAAATTGCATTTGCTGGATATGGTTATGGTTACTTATTTATTATTATTATTATTATTATTATTATTATTTCGACTCAAAAAAAGTCAATTTCAAGCTGCGTTCTGTTGTGGGAAATGGACGAATGAACAGACACACACATTTATAATATTTACACGTTAACCGCCTCGTAGATCACCTGTGACCTACATACGTTAGCGGAGGATTTGTCTTCGATATTTTTCTGTCGGCATTCAAAGGCTTAAGTATAAATTTCTGTCATCGGTATTTTTTTTTGCAAGTGAGTTTGCAGAGGCACTGGATTATCGCGAATTTTGTTTGTTATCACACGGTATGTGAAGAGGTTGACAGAAGTATAAAGAGGAAAATCAAAAATATGTTCAGTTAACTTAAATTCGTAATTCTTCACGTATGAAAAAGCTAATTACATAGAACTGAATACTCGTATTAGTCCTTAAAAACCCATAGTATTTCACGGGAATAGAAACTGTGCATTCAAATTCCGGGACTCTCTATCACTTTAAACCACTAAACCTTTTTGAGTGCATTTGATACAACGATAGTTTGAAATATCTAAAGTCATACGGAAACAGGAACCGCACGAAACATCTGGGTCCCTCTATCTTTTAAAATTTAAATCATTGAACTTATTTGAGTGGAATTTGGTACGACGATCGTTTGAGACCCGGAAAGACGCCTGAGAATTTTCAACCGCTGTACCTATTTGATTAAAATTCAGTACAACAATGGTTAGCAAACCTGAAAGGGACGTAGAATTAATCTTGGAAAAGACTTATTATGAAATCCAAATTCTGCCAGAAGTCATAATTATACGCAGAGGAAGTCGTGGGGAACAACTAGTTTAACAAAAATAACAGTGAAAATTAGGATTTTGGATCAGGGAAATATTTTGATATAAAATACGCAGAAAGTGAATTCGTTTTCCAATACGGCATTTTGATAACATATGCGTTAATTATAAACATGCATACATAATTTTCCTGGTTGACTCATATCAATGCATTTAGAAGGATATAAAATGAGCGCAGTCTCACTTACTGTGACATTAAACATCGTGTGTTCGAGAAGTACAGACGTGTCAACAGTCACTAATAATGAAGCTGCTGTGCTTGTTCGTGCTTGTAGCGCTATGTGCCGCTCTGTGTGCTGCCCAGCCAGTTGACAATCTAGCCACCGACTACTTAGAAGCTTCACACATAAGGACCAGAAGGCAAGCTTTTATACAAAATGGCCCATGCCCATGCCCTCAAAATTATGTTGAAGTATTACAGCAATGTGTTGAGTGTAAAACGTAAGTACCTTTATAATCTCTTTAATTTTAATTATTAATATTTTTATCGTTTTCTATACTATTTACGTTTAAGTAAAATATACAATGTGGCGTAATATTTGCAGAATTATTTTTCATTTAATTTTATACAATCTATAACTAACTGCTGCAAATTTGTCTAACCCACTTCAGATTGAAATATGACAATGTACCTAATACTGTGTTTTCAAAAAAACATACCGGTTGTAACACATTTTTTCTAATTTCAGATATCTGGAAAACACAGGAGAAGATGAGTGTCCTGTTTGTACTAAATAAATGCCCCAATATTATGCCAGAAGAGAGTTTCAGAAGAACACCTACATATCATTTAGTTTAATTTCACTGGAGTATAATTTAATCATTATGGTATATCAATTATACATGTAAATAATGTTTAAAACAAAGTGTTTATTTATAAGGATCAGTATATGAAGATGAATGTTTAGACAGTTATCAGGACTTTTGTAAATATATGAAAACAAAGACGAAGTGTGTTGAGAATTTAGGCTAAGTAAAATATAATTAATAAGAGTAGAAATGAATTTAATGAATAAATTGTGTTGTGAAACTATATACTTTGCATGGTTTTATTAAAACTTCAGAGAAACTATATGTTTTTTTTAATTTTGACGCTGTATTGTCGTTCTCACATACATATACGTGGTAACGTAATAGGTAAGGATACATTCGTGAGATTGTAAAAAACATTTTTTTATAAATCGATGGACTTTCTTGCTCGTTTTTCTCCATTTAAAACTACCATTCGGGACGAGCATCTAGCTTCACAGACAATTTAAGGATTAGCCTGTTGTGTGTCTAAACATGGATCCAGGCGAGTCACAATGTATTTTCTATTGTGTCCTCATATACAGGCATTCAAGCGGTTAATTGAAATAAATGCTTTGACTTTTAACTTTGATATATAATTTCTAATTTTAAGTTCGAAAATGATAAATCCGCATTCAGCACATGTGATTATTGAGAGAAAGGCCCAGCAGTGGTTGCTTAAGCTTTTGACTGCCAATAGAAAACTGATGAAGGCAAATCCTCCACTAACGTCGGTCACCGGTAACCCCCACGGCGTTTAATGTGTTAGGCTTGTGATATGACAGACTAGTATTTACATAAATTAATAGGATGCACAATATTAGTTGCTGAATAATCAATTGAATGGTTATTTAGTAGGTTCTCACGTCACATCACATACGCAAAATATCACACTCGCATCAAATAACAGTTACATTATTTGCATTAAATAGGGATGATGACAGGGTATGAAAAGTATCAACCTAATTGATTAGGTGATGAATGATTTTTGACTGCCTCGTTGGCCTCGGGTTCGATTCAAGGTCGGGCAAAAAAAATCTCAGTAGTAGCACGGAGTCTGGAATTGTGCCCAGTTTAAATTCAGTCAAAAAAGTATCGGGAATGGATGATTTATTTATGGTTCCAAATTCAAGTTTTTGTTTTTTGTAGTTGTTAGAGTTTGAGTTGCATCTGTTATTTTATATTAAATACAGTGCTAGTTTTATTAATAATATTATATATAGTGTGTATTGCGAATTTCATAAAGGACAAAAATATCTAAAGAGTTTGTCTTAAATTTTGCATCGTCAATGGAATTTCGTGGAGTCACTGAAAATGTTACAGAAGGCTTACGGTGAATCGACATTATCATTATATGTATTGATGAAAATTTTGCACCGATGTGGATTATACATTATATAAAATATTCTAGTACTAAACTAAAAAGTGTAAAATAAAAATAAAAAACTGCGTTTAAAAAAAACCGACTTCAAAAACAAAAACAAACAAAAAGTAAAAACTAAAAAGCAAAAATAACTATATTGGTCATACGTACTACATATAGCTTACACACCGACTGATAGGTGAGAAACTCCAAAAGTTCTGAATTTTCTCCAAAAACTCAATCGCATGAAAGTCACTGAGGACATGCTAGAACGAGTCAATTCGGTCATTCGCATTGTTACTGGTTACGAACCGTGGGTTTACGAGTTTGACATGCAAACTAGTCAACAAGCTTCGGAGTGGCGTATTCCGACTGAACCGAAACCGAAAAAACCACGCCAAAGTCGATCAAAAGTCAAAGTAATGTTGACTGTTTTCTTTGAGTATGGCGGTGTTATGCACTCTGAATTCTTACCAGGAGGTCTAACGGTAAATAAAGAATATTATTTGAGCATTATGCGGCGTTTAAGAAAGCAAATTCGACGAAAAAGGCCAGATTTCTGGAAAGAAAATTCTTGGATTTTGCACCACGACAATGTGCTTTCGCACAATACTATCATTGTGGACGAATTTTTGATCAAACTCTCAACAAATACCGTCCAGCAATATTCCATAAGCAAATCCACCACATTCACCAGATATGGATCCTGCTGACTTTTTTCTTTTTACTAAACTCAAATTACCACTTCGTGGCACCCGTTTTAAATCGATAGAAGACATAAACGAGAGTTCGCGGCGAGAACTGAACTCAATTCCCGAAGCATTCAAAAAATGTTTTGATGAATGGATTATTCGTTGGCGCAAGTGTATCGTTTCCAAAGGAGCATACTTTGAAGGTGATAACATAAATTTGGATTTTGGATAAAATAAGTTTGGATAGATAGGTACAGACATTTTGTGTATTATTGATCTTTTCCCGGTAATTTCTTGACAGAGTAGCATGGTAATACGGATTATATGGGACTCATAACATAAATGGTGAAAAGTAGGTGTTACATTGTGCAGTTGCATAATTTCCGTAATGTGCACCTCTGCCTACCCCTTCGCGGATAAAAGACGTGATTTTATGTTATGTTGTATATTTTTGTAACATTTTTCATAAATGTTCGAGTGTTATTTTACACAATTTTGTTAGTATCTACCTACATTATTTTTGCACGGCGACGTTGAAGGCAAAATAAGAAGACCTAAATTACTATAACTTACCATACCTTATTTACGTAAACAATAAAAACTTCATATTAAGTCTCCGCATTTCTTTTATCGTAGAATTTGCTATGCCGAAACTCCAGAAAATTGACCTTTGTTTCCTGTGACGCATGTGTACAATTATTATGCCAGTTTGCATTGTGCATTTGCATAAATGGATTTTCCTGTGATAATAATATCCCATACGGCATACAGGTTAATTTTATGCGGCAGTAAAACCCAATTTGTAAAATTGTAGTCACATTTAGAATAATTGTTTGATAAAATTATAATATAATATCCTTAATATTATATAATATAGCCTTTTATTCATAAACATAGGGTTACAGGGGGTCCCTAAGTTCGGTGTGCCTTTTGGCATAGGCCTCCTCCAATTCTTTCCAATGCGTTCTGTCTCTTGTCACGCTCCTCGACCAGTATGGTCCCTCTGTCAGTTTCAAGTCATCCTCCCATCTCCTGACTTGGCGATCTCTGTTTCTTTTTCCATCCCTTGATAGCCAGTAATAAAATTATTAAGAAATAAAATTTGATGTGCCACTAACTATATTTATTATACATTTATCAACGTACTTATTTAAACTTTCATATACTTATCGCAAACAATAAAATAGTGTCACTTATGGTATGACAGCAGCTAAAGGTCGGCTTCAATCTAAAGACCTTTTTTTACTCTTCCCAGATTAAGACGATAACCTCACATCTGATTTGTTTCCGGCCATGTCGAATTTAACCTCACCAAATTAAGAAAACCAGGAAGCAGATTATATCTTTGTTTACACAAAAGCTATCAGCATTAATTTATATCAGCCTAGTACCTACTGCTGAGCAAAGGTCTCTTCTCACATAGAGAAGGAATGATTATTAATCACCACGCTTGCTCAAGGCAGATTGATGATTTCAAGGTTTTCTAACGATGTTTCCTTTCACCATAAAATTACAAAAGATACTATCAATCTCAATAGTGACATATAGTAAGAATCACTAAGAAAAATAAAATTATAAATTACGTTAAAAAAACGCGACTTTTTTTCTGAATTCCTTTTCTTAAGTGTCACTAACACTTTTCTGAAAACCACTCCAAAATCGGTTCAGCCAATCGTGAGATAATCGTGCACAGACATGCGTACGATTTCTGGTTATCGAATAAAAGTTTTAAGATAAATGAACTTTATATAAATCCTTGATTGATTGCAAAACAACATCCATTACAGTTACGTAGGTACCAGTTAAGGGAAAAATAATTCATTTAAAGTACAGGTATATAAATAGCGGTAACGATATCCTGAATGAGCAGTTGACTTCACACTAGCGAGCACAGTAAAGGTCTGAAAATGCAACAAAAATTTGTATTACTGGTTTTTGTGCTGCTGGCTGTATTATACATTGCCAGTGCGGGGTCTCTTCATGGTACTCGGTTCAAGAGACAGGCATTCATAGAGGGTTATAATAATTGTCCTACTGGATATTACCGATTAACGGAAGGTGGTACATGCCTGAACTGCACACAGTAAGTATTTATTGTAGTTTAATTCTCTTGTATCTGTGTTTCGTTTCCTTCCAACCTTTAGGATGTATGTGCTAGCTACTACCATAGGATAAATAGTAGCCAATGTATAAATCAGACCATCTGTTCAGACTATAAAGGGTTCACAGTATTTTTACATTTGATATATTCACCGACCAATAATTAAAGTTACTTAATATTGGGTCGAAGTTTTCCTCTTGTTATGTTTATTAGTGATATTATATTTTTACTGCTATTCTAAATTGTAATAATTGTACTTTCTTTATTACAGATATTTGGAATACTCTGACAAGGAAACTTGCCCGTAGGAGTGAAAGAGGATTTTTCTAAGAAAAAAAAAAATTGTAAAAGTCGATCTTTTGAATGATTTTGGTATGTAACCCATTTATTGTTTTAATAACAACATTTTTGTTATTCAATAATTGTAAATGTTGGATATTTTAAATAGGTACAAAACCAGTCTTGCGGTTTGTTTGTGAGTCACAAAACATAATACTTATGTAATACGTTGGTAATAGTTGTGCATGCCTAAAGTACGTAATAAATTGAACTACAATTGTAATTTAATAATTTTGTCTTAATTAGTAATTAGTAAATTAATAATTAGTCTATAATGACATATGTGTGCAAGAAATAAATATTTTTAATTTGAACATGCGGCCCTCTCGAGAAGTACATTGAAGAAAGCTGTACTAATTTCATATCACATCGGAACTCATGTAGAGTAAATCGTATAATTGCAATTAAATTGGTATGTTTCGCATACGTGTATGCATAAAAGTTCTAAATATATGTTTACTAAATACTTATGCCAAGTAACGACCTTGGATTCGAAGCCAGATTATTTAATTCAGATACATTATGGATGATATTCTCATTTCCAGTTTAAAATAATCTCTAGTTTTAAGATAATTATTGTGTGTTAGTAAAATTATCTTTTAGAAAATAAAAATATTTATAAGTAATTATTAATAAAATGTTTTAACATATTTTTTCTTTAATTTCTTCAAACTTTAGATTTGCTTGCTAATGTGACATCAACTGCTTATTTAAGATATCCCTACCACG